TTGGTTCACTCGCTGTTTTGAAATTTGCATGAACAAAATAAAAAAATAAAAAAAAATAAAAAAGTGAAAAGAAAAGAAAAAAAGAAATTGAGTTTCAAAACCAAAAAAGAACAAGAACAAAAGCAAATTAACAAGAAACTCAAAATCCTGGGTCCAAGACCCAGGAGACCCAGGAACCATTACTTTTAGTTCCAATCAGGCTATCTTCAAAGTAGCCAAATGTTTCAAGTCTATTATCAAATGTGCCCCATTTTATACACAAACATTGAAATTAGGCACACGGTTCTGAAAATACAAAGTCATGTATCAACATCATGACTCCAAACTGCTACACTCTCCACTGGTCTCACTCAAATAATATAAATCAGGCAAATGATATAGTTCAGGCAAATCTCTGAATACACGGCTGCCTTTCCCAAGACAGCCTCAAGAATGAAGGAGGAGATACCAGAAGACAGGCTGTTACACAAAGAAAGCTAGGCAGGCCATAAAAGTAATACCAGCAGGACTGGCATCTCTTCCTTTCTATTCCACTTGGGCATATTTATGATTAAGTTATTAGAAACAGGCTCCAAAACGGTGGCATGAAGGCCCCACATCCTTTAGCGGAACCTGTGCTGACAGACCAGCATTATCCACCTTAACTGGTTTTTGATAACCCATGACACAAATAATAAAAGACATGATTGAACTCAAATAATGAACAAAATAGTTATTGACTTAGCTAACTTAATAATTCATCTTAAGGGTAAATAATTCATAGCACATTACTGTCAGACACTATGCTGCAATAATAACTCAGAATTATTATTATTAGTTATTATTAAAAATGATCTATTTCTTATATTTTGTTACATAAGAAATTATTTAGGGCAGCACTGTGGTGGAGTGGCTGGCGCTGTTGCCTCACAGCAAGAAGGTCCTGAGTCTCCACCACCTGACCGGGCCTTTCTATGTGGAGGTTGCATGTTCTCCCTGTGTTTTGCATGGGTTCTCTCTGGGTACTTTGGCTTCCTCTCACAGTCCAAAGACATGCAGTTAGTGGGGTTGGTCTAAATTACCTGTGAATGTGAGTACGAATGGTTGCCTGACTCTATGTGTTAGGCCCCCCCACCCCCTTTTTTTTTTAAATTACACTCATTTATATAATGAGTTAAATAAAAATCAAAGCTTAAATATGTTTAGTAACCAGACAACTTTGGTATTATTAGAGTACTTTATTGGTAATAATTCAAAGCACATCATTTAATAACCAGTAAAGAAATCCTCTGAGAGCAACAAGCACAAAGATTAGTATTTACTTAATTGTGTTTTAGAAAGAAAATGACAGATGACAGAAATAAACAATTAATATTTCAAATTGTTTAAGGTTTTTCTTTTTTCTTGACTCATATAACAACATGGACTGAAGCTGATCTTCCACACACTACACATTGTTGTATATTGACTCATCGCAGTCAGTCTAGACAGAGAAACAAGATTAATTCACTCAATTTGTTTATGCATGCACATTATGAATGAATTATTGAAAAAAAAATCATTACTTGTCCCTACATTGCCATAGAGATGATCATTGGCATAAATGTCAGAACAAGACATATCCTTCCTGTCCTCTTTCCTGCAGAAAGAATGCAAAAACATTAAATCAAGTTACACATCTTCTTAAATCATGTTTAATCACGAGTGAGATTGTTGTTTAAACTTAAGATGAAGAATCAAAACCTTTTTGTTGGGGCATAACGAGGGAGCTCCACAGGTCTCTCTGCTTTCATGGTGCCCAAGTCTGATGTTGGCGTCTCCCCTGATCGCCCCCTGCTGGCAGAAAACAATAAAATAAATAAGAACATGAGAAAGACAGCTGTCAGTTTTGGTAACCTCTTAAGTAGAACCACATTTGGCTGCTATATTTGGATGGGCAAACAAAAATAAATGAATTTCAGATGCAAGCTCTGAGATAAGTTTTTTGTACATGTTGGGTGACAAAAATAAGCATCATTACAATGATCTCATGGAACATAGCAGCCTATGATGGTCTGAACTGAAAGAGCAGCAGCAGCAGTTTCAGGAGTCAATGTGTGCATGTTTCATTTATAGAGAGATTATATTTTGAACATTTTTATTTTGTCAACATACTTCTCATGAGTAATGCTACTGAAGTAAAAGCACAATGAATAGAATCAGTGGATTTTGTTTTTATTAAAAAGAAGAAGAACACAATTAGCCTGTTTTTTTTTCTCTCTTCCCCAACTAAACCTGAAGAGAGAGGAAGAGGGGTGTGTGTTTGTGATTTAGGATAATCTGTTTTTAAAGGAGCATTTTTAAATACCACAGTTGTCTTTGATACTAGTTGTTAATGTTGCTATGCTGCTCATTTAACAGTCTTTCTATAAATGAAAATAACAAAGAATTCAACACCATAACACACATCTAAAGGAAAAGTTGATCCTCACAGCAGCAGCTTCTCTCTGTGCTGATACTCAGAAAAGATGCAAATAACATCTGAGATAGATTTCACTAAAGTATGACTGTTATAACTCACCAAAGTAGAAGTAAGAAATGAATGTGTGTGACTTCTTCTTTCAAGCTACAGGATTGTGTCTGTGTTTTATTTGTAGCTCTGACTTCATAGTTAATCAGCTCTGTACTTTCCAAGAGACATGGTGCTCTGCTTCTTACTCTGAATACTTTTTTTTAACTCCTGTGTTATGTGCTGCTTTTTCTATTAACTGAATAACAAAGGACATAGGCAATATACCTTGTTTAGGTGGTCTGGCTGTCAAAGCCTCAAAAAATGTCTGTTATTGTGTAGATTTTTTTTCCAACCACCATTTCAGAAATACAAATATTTTTTTTTTTTTTTGCCTGTCCCGTTTGGCTCTTTTGCCATCAGAATTATTGTCTAAAGGCAAACAAAGATGCCCAATGGATTTACTTTACCAAATTGACCATCCCAGCCTTGCCGTAATGGTCCATTTGATTCACCTTTTATTGTTTCTTTTATTTTCACTTACTGAATACGGGACAGACTTGACTGGGGGAAAGAAGGGGAGAAAGAAAGAGGGAAAGAGAAACAGCTGAGAAGAGGGACGGGGAGAAGGGCAAAAGACAAAAACCAACAGAACGGGCAGAGAAAAAAAAATGCATATATCAATCACCTGGATCACCTGCTGAGAAAGAAAAAGAAAGCAAGCAGAAGAGAACAAGAGTAATAGAATAAACAACATCACAATGATATATGGGAATATGACAGTAAATACTAAATATTAAACATTATTGTGCAGCACATAAGATCAACAGAACACAGTGTGCTTTGAGGTAGGAGCCAAAAGGGTGTAGTTTGTGGGTGTGATCACCCGTGTGTACACCTGTGAGCATGGACGCGCTTGTTTTTTTTTTTTTTTTTTTTTAAAGGTTCCTTCATGTAATCATCTGCTAGAGGGTGTGGGGGGGCCACAGCCCCGTCCTCCAGGGTATGAAGCAGGTATGGAGGAGATCAAAACTCCAGACATCCAGAGGCCCCAGAACACAAGAGACCAAGGAAGACCAACATAGGGGCAGCCGCGCCACTGTCCCAGAAAGAGCTGAGGAGAGTCCCAGATGAGGGCTCACTCAGCAGCCGCGGAGCAGAAGCCAGGGGAGTTGCAGTGACGCGCCCGTGAGCTCCGTCGGCAGCCAGCCGTGCCTGAGTGACCGAGCCCCAGGGCGAGAGGCCGGGGCACCCCACCTCCGAAGTGGCCCGAGCGAGCCCCAGGCTCCAGGCCCCGATAAGCGGCTGCCAAGGAGTGAGCCGGTGTGTACCTGGACGCCCATCCCCGGACACAAAGAACCACCAACGCACCGATGTCTGAGGGAGTCCACCACTGGCAGGGGAAGTAGTGGTAGGGGAGATAGGCCTCCAAACCTTGGAGGCCTAAGATGTCCCCAGAGAGGTGGCGTCTGACACCCAAACTGACATATAGACACAGAAATACAGGCACACACAGATACAAACATCCATTCCCACCCTCATGCTCTCATATGCACTTACTCCACACACCAACGTGGAGACAGACATAAAGAGACGCTGTACACACAATCACACTCCCCAAGCGTACTCTACAAACCGGGTCTAGGTACCCTTGCCCTGGAGGGGGAACTGCAAATACAAATACAAATATTTTCCAAAACTCACCATTTTCTAACAACTCCCACTCCAGTGGCTATCAGAATAATCAGAACAATCACACCTGCTCCAGAGGCTATGAAAATATTCTGCATGTTGTCTGTTCAAAAAGAAGGCATATTGAATATTTTTTGTTTTGCCATGTAAATATAAAGTGATAATAATTAATGCTTGAGATTCTTGAGATTGAAATTTTTTTCTTACCAGTAGCAGGTAACAAGAATGTGAGGTTAGCATTTCCCAGTGTGTTGTTTGCCAGGCAGTGAACAAACTTAAAGGACCCAAAGTATGTCTGCAGAGTTCCAGTAGTAACAGAGCCAACTGTCTCTATGCTGGTGCTTTGCAGGACTCTGTCACCAAGAACAAAATGGACCATGCTGGGAGCCTGGACTCCACGATGCACTCACACTTTACCACATCATCCTCTGAGAAACACTTAGAGGAAGTCCTAATATCAGGGGGATCTGTAAGGACAATAGAGAGCTATAATTAGGAGATAAAAGATAGTTGTGCATTTATTATATACATTATATGGATAAAAGTAGCTGCTCAGCAATCTAAATTTATGCCATGTTGCCATGATGTAAGCAGAAGTTTTGAACTTTGGAGTTATTGAGTCAGATGACTCAATAACACTATGCGCCTCAGTACTTGGTGACACTGCTTTGTAACTTTATGTTAATTTTGAAATTTCTTCCTCCTAGATATTCCAAAAACTGGCTTCTCAAAACAGTAACATCCTATTACAGTACCACACTCAAGTTAAACGATCTCTCGAGAACGACCCATTCTTTCACAAATGCTTGTAAAGGCAGACTGTACGGCTGGGTGACTGATTTTATGCACCAGTGGCAACGGGACTGAAAACACCTGAATTTAAGGATTAATAGGTGTCAATAAAGTTTATCTTTGACTCACATGAAAATCTATTTTGTTGTTATATTTCTTCCATTTTGTACTCACATAACACATTGAGCTTCATGGTGCTTGATCTGTCTTGTCCTTCCTCATTGACAGCAGTGCAGTACACGGACTCTATTGAATGTCTGGAGACATTTGACATTGTGTAGGTTTGTCCCTTATTCAGCAGAGCACCAGTTTCACTGTGCCACTCATAGCTGCTGACAGGGTTAGCATCACTGGAGCACTTCAGGTGTGCAGTCTCTCCCTCATTCACTGACTGGTACTCAACCTTCACATTCACTGGAGCATCTGCATAGAAATATTAATCCTATTATGTTACTGTGCAGCATGTTATCTTATTTTACATACTGTCAGGTCAAGGTTGAGCTTATTTCAACATTCTGACATGACGGTGGCACCAAATGAAAAAGTTCAGGAAGTCGATGAAAGGCACCAATATTTTGGAGATGATGAATATACTGACAAAATATCAAAGCAGTCAATCCAGTAGTTGTTAAGACTAAATCGACTTTCAGTCAGTGAGTCATTGTCATACCACTAGACTGACGTCGCTGTTCATTAAACAAACAAACAAAACAAAAAATAAATAAATAAGAGAGAAAAACGAATTTATAAATAATTCATAAAAACATTTTAAAAAGGATGCATATAGAAAGGCATAGAATTTACAGTTCTTTTTGGCACAAGCTCATTCAGTGCAATTATCAGGCAACTGAAAGATGACTTATCGTGTCAGCAAGCAGAGGTTTTGGCAGTTTGCAGGTCTGTAGCATTTTGGGTGTGTGTTAACCCAGCGGTCCCCAACCCCTGGGCCTCGGACCGGTACCGGTCTGTGAGTTGTTTGGTACCGGGGCCGCGAGAGTTGAGGCTCAGGTGTGAAATGTATAGTTTTCAGGGTTTTTATCGGTTTTCAGTATTATTTTGTTATCGTTTTTATCGTTTACTCGGTTTTCCTTGGTCTTTTCACGTGTGTTATGAATAAATTTTCTTTTTTTCGGTACCGGTACTAGTTTTATTTTGTTGTATTTATGCGCGACACCTTAAAGGCCGGTCCATGAAAATATTGTCAGGCATAAACCGGTCCGTGGCGCAAAAAAGGTTGGGGACCGCTGTGTTAACCACAACACAAAGGAAGAAATACATTAGCAGCTAAATTAGATAAGTGGTTGTTTTTGCCCATCATTCTGAAATGGATCATAAGGCCATTTCCAAATAAGTTTCTCATTCTGCAGTGTGAAAGCTTATTCTCACTGTAGGAAACATTCAAGAAAGTTTGCAGTCTTTCCAGGAGTTGATGTCCCAACAAATTCACCCCAAAGTCAAACTACAATGCTAAAAAAAACAAACTAGTAATAAAAATGCAGTGTTAAAAAAAAAATGAATAAATCAAAAAACCCACCAAAAACTGGGCAGCATGACTGCAGTCATTCACTCAACCATGAACTCCTCAGTATATCAAAGTATTCTAGAGTCAAACATGAGGCTACAGCTTGTTTGCAGCTTGGTCTTAACTAGTTAATAATCCCAAGGACATTACCTACCAAAGAATGACTGACAAAGAAAAGAATCAAGGTTTTGCAGTTGCCTCGTCAAAATTTAGATCTCAGATTTAAATTGTGTGGTGACAATTTAAAAGAGAGCTGTGCATAAAGAAGTGTCCACAAACCTCAATGAAATGAAGCAACCTTCTAAAGATGTGAAAGATTTCAAAATGATGTGAGAAACGGCTACTTACTTTACAAGTCATTGTAGCCAAAGGTGGTTGTACATGCTACTGGGTTTTGCTTAGTTTTCAAATTACTTTGGAGTTTTATGTAAGTGTTCTTTAACATGATTGCACATACAGTGGCATGCAAAAGTTTGTGCAACCTTGTTAATAGTCAATATTTCCCTGTATTAATCGTTGGTTGTTACAATAAAAAAAAAATGTCAGTTAAATATATCATATAGGAGACACACAGTGATATTTCAGAAGTGAAATGAAGTTTATTGGATTTACAGAAATTGTGCAATAATTGTTTAAACAAAATCAGGCAGTTGCATAAATGTGGGCACTGTTGTCATGTTATTGATTCCAAAACCTTTAGAACTAATTATTGGAACTCAAATTGGCTTGGTAAGCTCAGTGACCCCCGACCTACATACACAGGTGAATCCATTAATGAGAAAGAGTATTTAAGGGGGTCAATTGTAAGCTTCCCTCCTCTTTCAATTTTCATTGAAGAGTAGCAACATGGGGTCTCAAAACAACTCTCAAATGATCTGAAGACAAAGATTGTTCACCATCATGGTTTAGGGGAAGGATACAGAAAGCTGTCTCAGAGATTTAAGCTGTCTGTTTCCACAGTTAGGAACATATTGAGAAAATGGAAGACCACAGGCTCAGTTCAAGTTAAGGCTCGAAGTGGCAGACCAAGACAAATCTCAGAAAGACAGAAACGACGAATGGTGAGAACAGTCAGAGTCAACCCAAAGACCAGCACCAAAGACCTACAACATCATCATGCAGCAGATGGAGTCACTGTGCATCGTTCAACCATTTGCCACACTTTACACAAGAAGATGCTGTATGCGAGAGTGATGCAGAGGAAGCCTTTTCCCTGCCCACAGCACAAACAGAGCCGCTTGAGGTATGCTAAAGCACATTCGGACTTCATTATTCATTCTGGAATAAGGTGCTGTGGACTGAAGAAACTAAAATGTAGTTATTTGGGCATACCAAGGGGCGTTATGCATGGAGGAAAAAGAACACAGCATTCCAAGAAAAACACCTTCTACCTACAGTAAATATGGTGGTGGTTCCATCATGCTGTGGGGCTGTGTGGCCAGTGCAGGGACTGGGAATCAGAGGTGTGGACTCGAGTCACATGACTTGGACTCGAGTCAGACTCGAGTCATTAATTTATGACTTTAGACTTGACTTGAAAAAATGTTCTAAGACTTGTGACTTGACTTGGACTTTTACACCAATGACTTGGGACTTGAATTGGACTTGAACCGGTTTACTTGAAAAGACTTGATATTTTACCCCAAATATAAAATTTAACATGCATATTATATAGAGATTGAAAATGTGACGTCATTCACGGGTAGAACCGCAAAGGATTCTGGGAACTCGTGGCAAGCGGTACTAGCGCACGCAGGCTTTCAATTAAAATCAGTCACACAGCGATAAAAAGAAACACAAAAATGTCAAGAAGCTGTTGTATTATTAACTGCAATAGCCGGTCGCATGACAGCCACGGGAAGCCGACGGGTAAAGAGATCGGTTGTTATCGGATTACGTCGTTGAAGAGAAATTGTTCGAGCCATGTTTCCGAAGTAACAAAGAGGCGACTGGATTGCAGCCATTCAAAGACCAAATATAACGTCCCAGAACTCTCCAGCTCACAGGTTAGTCTGCTCCAAGCATTTACACAAAGGTCAGTCTGCTGTTGTAGTTAATGCGTCATTTTTCTTAACATAATTGGTGATATAGGTTACAAGCAAGTCTGGCGCTGAACAGAAATTGTCGCGCTATGCTCCTTTATTTATTGTGCATAAATAGTAAATTATCCTGACACAATATTGCGTTTCGCTTCTGTTATTATGGTACACTGACAAAAACACATACTTTTATTCACAGGATAAAACAGGTTTTTTGTATCACTAATTGTCCAGTACGATTACAGCATACAATATTGTTGTCACTGCTACATTTCTGTGATGGGTACCAGAAATTATTTCCACTACTAATTAATTACCGTTGAGCTCAAAGGTTATATTAATAAACGGTTAACGAATGTGTATTTATGACGACGATTTGTGAGACTGGTAAACTTATGATACGTACGATGGTCTTTCGTTCTACACGGTGCATTTCAAGGTCCTGCACCCATCCGTCGGTAAACTGTACCTGGGCTTGTTGCAGTGACCGGAAGTTACTAAACTTCATGAGTGTATGCACTCACTCCAAGAAGCGTATGATTATAAATATGCATATAAATATGCTACAATGAGATAGCTGACTTCATCTAACTAGCAAATGTTTTCCAGGCTACGTTGGTGATACAGTTTTTTTTAATGTGTATGATATTTTTGTCATGCGATTTTAAAGCTGGTCCTACAACTGCATCCAAGAATAACATGCAGCGTATCTCAGAACTGTCGGTGAAAATTATTCTTGGAGCTAAGTTTAATTGAGCTGCATTTTAAAGAGGTGCAATTTCACAATTTGTGTATATTTTCTAAGTTCACTATTTTGTATGTGTTGAGAAAAAACACAGATTTTAAAATTACATGGTCTAATATTTACATTTAGCATAACTGCAACATTATTTTTTCGTTTGTTTTTTTTAAAGACTCGAAAGGACTTGAAATTCAAAGTTTCAGACTTGTGACTTGACTCGGACTTTTACACCAGTGACTTGAGACTCGACTCTGACTTGCCTGACATTACTTGAGACTTGACTTGAGACTTGAGGATAAAGACTTGAGACTTACTTGAGACTTGCAAAACAATGACTTGGTCCCACCTCTGCTGGGAATCTTGTCAAAGTTGAGGGACACATGGATTCCACTCAGTATCAGCAGATTCTGGAGACCAATGTCCAGGAATCAGTGACAAAACTGAAGCTGCGCCGGGGCTGGATCTTTCAACAAGACAACAACCCGAAACACTGCTCAAAATCCACTAAGACATTCATGCAGAGGAACAAGTACAACGTTCTGGAATGGCCATCTCAGTCCCCAGACCTGTATATTATTGAAAATCTGTGGTGTGAGTTAGAGAGAGCTGTCCATGCTCGGAAGCCATCAAACATGAATGAACTAGAGACGTTTTGTAAAGAGGAGTGGTCCAAAATACCTTCAAACACAATCCAGACTCTTGTTGGATCCTACAGGAAGCGTTTAGAGGCTGTAATTTCTGCAAAAGGCGGATCTACTAAATATTGATTTCATTTCTTTTTTTTTTTGTGGTGCCCAAATTTATGCACCTTCCTGATTTTGTTTAAACAATTACTGCACACTTTCTGTAAATCCAATAAACTTCATTTCACTTCTCAAGTACCACTGTGTGTGTCTCCTATATGATACATTTAACTGACATTTTTTTTATTGTAACAACCAACGATTTATACAGGAAAATGACTACTAACAAGGTTGCCCAAACTTTTGCATCCCACTGTACAACATTTTTCTCCTAAAAATGAGCACTCTGTGCTTTTTTTTACTGTTAGTCATATGAAGTAATTGACATACACAAATCAATTGGCACTTTGTTCTATGCCAGCTTGTAATAAATATATATTTAAAGATAAACAGTTTCACATTCTGTGTAAAAAAATAAAATAAAATAAAAAAATAAAAAATAAAATATGAGTAACAAATTAAACTGTAAAAGTTTTAACTTGTTCTGCTTAGTTTTTGTTTTGAATGTAATTCTCAATATTTATGTTTCTTTTCCCTAATTTCTTTCTAATTCTAACAACTGCAAACACATGTAACAAAGCAACCATGCCTAGTGTCGGAACACCCTTAATTTTCATTATGTTGGTTTGTGCTTTCTTAGCCTGGTTTGTTGCAATTTCACTCGTGGGTTTTACGATTTCTATAGTCTTCTCTTTATAACTATAAAGACCATTGTATTCTAGATTTTTTAAAAGTGATCATTTTTACAATATTTATAAGATTTTCTTTCATCTACATGTATTTGTCAGTGCACACTTACATTTTACTTTAAGGGTCTTGGATGTTACCCGCTGCTTTCCACCGTGGTATGTAACACTGCATTGTAAAGGTTTGTTGTGATCAGAGTGGTTTGAGCGAAAGGTCAAAGTAGATGTTGCATTCCACTGGCCATTTTGAAGCTTCTGTGTTTGATCATGCTGCTCTCCAGAGTGACTCCAGTGGAAAGAAGGTGGATATGTGGGGCAGGAGTGAAACACAGAGCAGGATGCAGACACAGTTTGACCCTCCTTTACCTCCTCTTGCACAGAGAAATCAGTAGGATTTGGTTCATCTGTGTTAACAAGAAAGATCAAGATGATTTTAAGACCCAAACTAACTGTGATTTTTTTTGCAAATCCAAAGACTAATCCAATTGTTGAATTTCCAAATACCATAATGCGTAGAACTAATATAGGAAATAGATTAAGGTGAGGAGAAGGGAATAAGAGAAAAAACAAAGCAAAACACCATTCTTATAAAAATCTAACAATATGATAATGTGGACTTCACTTTACTATGATTTGACTTTATGCTGTGTGGCAGGTAAGCCAGGACCCAGCAATGAAAGACCAAATAGTAAACTAAAGAAGCAGCTTTATTGCTGTACGGAAAAAAAACTCAAAAATTCTAACACTAAGCTAAGGAACAAAACACAGAACTCTAAAACACAGAGAGATGCATACAACAGTGGGAAATGGGAAACTGAGGACATAAATATACACAACAGGGTAACAAGAGGATGGGTAGCAGGTGGAAATACAGCTGACACTAATTAGGAATCAACGAGGAATATTCCAATAACACTATTTAGTCCGGAAACATAGAAATAACGAACCAGTACCATAACACTTTCCACATGAGTGGATAATTTGAGTGTAACTGTATAGCATTCATTCAGTTAACTTACCGATCACTGAAACAGAGATTTTGTTCTTTGAGTAGGAAAATACGGTATAAGCTTCCATTATAATCCTGAAATGAAAGGTCCCTTCATCTCTTCTTGTAAGTTTATCAATCATCAGAGAACAATTCTTCTTGCTGAGGTCTCCCAGCAGCTTTGTCCGACTCCAAAACTGAGCTGGAGTTTGAGATGCATCAGAATGACAGATGACTTGATTATCATTATTATACCAAATCCCCGTGAAGGTCTGGGGGCTTTTTTGTGGTTCTGGGTAGTTATAAGAGCAGGGGATCACCACACATGAGCCAAGGAGACCTTTCACTGAGGATGGCACAGCAGCGGTCCAAGATGAAGCTTCTGTTGGAGTAACTGTAATAAATTTGAGAGTAAATTATGATGAAACAAAACAAATAAATAAGACTACCAACATAAGAAGGACAATGTAAATGTGTGTGAAAATAAAGAAAAGATCATGTAATACCGACATTATGTGTTACACAAAGATGTATGAAAATGTGAGAATTAAATTTTTCAGCTATACTTTAAAGGTCTATACTATCCATACCTTTAATGCAAATGTACATGAAGAACAAAGACCATTGTAAGACCATCTTTTCTTCTCACTGTCACGCCAACAAATACGGTGACAAGGATGTCTGTGTTTTTTTAAATTTCCTTCAGAAACATGTGACATGAAGTTGCCTCTTTACTTTTCACACATTTTGCAACCACTTTATCACACTCATCTTACTTTTTTCTGCATGTTCTGCAAAATAGAGAAGAAAATTAACTTCATCATATCTATTTTTTTCTTTGTTAGGTTTTGTAAATGGTTTGTGCTTGATCACAGCGTGTGGTTTCCTGCTGGTTTTGCCTCCTTATTTACACATCAGTTTGACATGTTCAGAGTGAAATGTGGTTACCCTCTCACGTGCACACAGACACACGCACAGCAGAAAGTCCATTTTGATGGCTCTACATGTTTAAGAGTATGAGTTATTGTAGATATGCATTTTAGCCTTTGCATTTCTTACACTGACCCCGGCCCCTGAAGAAAAAAAAATAAAAATAAAAAAATCGCTGGTCGCCACATATGTGAGCACGAGAGAGGAAGACACCCTCGAAGTTCATCGAAACATTAACTTGATATTTATTCCTCCTTTAAACAAATTATTGTAAAGGAATTTTTATTTTGTTTTTATATGTATCTATTTTTAGTGAAATCAACTTATAAACTTATAATTCTTTTCTTTCTCGACATATTTTAAGTGACCTATATTTGACAAGAGCATAATAAAACTGAAATTCTGTTTATGGTGCGCCACTCCAATATTTTTAGTGGCCTCGCTATGGCCACCCCTATGAAACAACTCTGCACTAGAGCTGGGCGATAGAACGATAACGATATGTATCGCGATATAACTTTTACTCGATAGAGAAATCAAGCTATCGCGATAGACCTCGCCGCTCTTGTCCTCTTAATATAAAAAAAACAAAAAACAAAAAAACAAAAAAAGGTCAGCCAATCCAAATCAAGTATTGTAGCGCAGAGCCGAACCAATCACAGCCGCAGCGTCATGTCGCGTTATGTACAGCACAAGTACCAAGCTGCACCTGTGTTTGTTTGGGAAGCAGCCGGCGGGTAATGGAGCCAGCGCATAATGGAGGAAATGAGTGTGCCGACTAGAAAAATCAACCGAGCATGACCGAAGAGAAAACAGATGATGGTTCCAACGCCGGAGAGATTGTCGAACGGAAGAGCCATAGAAGTTCCGTAGTGTGAAGGTATTTCGGCTATTTCAAGTCTGACAAAAAACAGAGTAGCGTGCCGAAAGCAAGTCTGGAAATACAATAAACTGGTGCATGCGTCACACTGTGCGCCACGTTATTGTTTCGGTGAAATGAATTTCTACAATACTGTTACTGTTAATTCTACTCTCTGCAGTGTTTAAATGCTTACATATACACACAGTTACTGTCCCTCCACACATACGACTCGGTTCTGCTTCTATGCCCCAGCTTTGTTTACTTTTTCCCACCGAGGCTTCTAGACTTCTGATTGGCCAACATTTCTGCACGGTTAGGAATCTAGCGCCACCTGCTGCTTTGGCGTGTTCATAGCAGCGTTTTCCTTCATTTCTGCCTTTATGTGTGGACGGGATTATTTTTTAAAACGAAAACGGAAAATCTCCGTTTTCAAAAATACCCGTGTACGTGTGGACGTAGCCTCAGTCTCTGACTGGAAGCGCTAATGCGTCATTCGGCTTTTGTCAGACTAAAGTAACTGTTAAAACTGTTTGAAAAGCTCAGCTATACAACAAGGAGAGATTGAGAATTTCCTTTTAGTTCTCAGTTTATTTGATATTGACAAAAGTTAGTCAGTTTTGTCTGTTCTTCTGTAACACAAACTAAGATTTATTTTTAGAATTAATATTTTGTTTCTAAGTGGAATTGACAATTTAGTCTGTTTCGTTTGTTCTATTTTGAAACTTAAACGCTTTAGCGGCTGCCTTTTGTGTAGTTTGCAATATTTGCCTTTATTTATCTGAAAAAGTCTCATGTTCCTTAAGTACATCTACCCTGTTGAACTTATTATGGGAAATAAATATTTAAATAAAAACAAGCTGCTGATTATTTCACATTTTACTTGTGAGCAACGGCACATTTAAATCTTACAAATATAGTTATTTGGCTTATATCGTGATAGATATCGTTATCGCCTGAAATGAAAAAAACATATCGTGATATGAAAAAATCTCATATCGCCCAGCTCTACTCTGCACCCATGATTCTATCTATGAAAAAAATTTTTTTTGTGTATCTAAAGGAAGAAATTTGCAATTTGTTTGGATTTCAGCTCTATTATATTTCTCATTAAATTAACAGGGACCCGGCTTCTTTGGTATATAGAATGACTACCAAAATAGTAATGGATTATTTTTAATTTGACAGCACTGTTTCACTGTCCAGCTCTGTTTTAGTCAAATGCGATGTCACATGACAGTGCAGCAAGACCTCACTCTTCATTTTGTGGCTTTTCTAAAGTAATGTGGGCAACAACCGGTGAATATAACATTTTAGCTAACGTGCAAAAGTACACTACCTTTACTCTGTGCTTTCTTGTAAAAAAAGTGTTTATATGGGTACACACGTGTGCAGGTAAACACGAGTTCATCTTTTATTTGGCTACACTGGTTGATGTGTTTGTGTACTTGCTATGGGAAGCAGAGCCAATCCACACCAAATGTTTCGGACTTGTGGCGCTGTGAAGAAGGAAAACTGGTGAAGGTAACTAAATGGTGTTGACAACGCCACCTAGGGAGGGAGTTACACCCCAGGAGAGATTACAATAGCCAGTGTAAGCATCGTAACAATTACAAGTGGCACACAGGCTCGTTATTAACAAACAGAGTCCATTTCACCGATTATTGGACAAAACAAATATAAATAAAGAGCTGCAGAAAAGACAGCAACTTAAGTAACAGGGTTAATTAAGACACTTTATTAACAAACATTACTTAAAAGAAGAGGAGACCACCACTTGGGGAGGCAACCTACACTGAGGAGTTCCCAAGGTTGCAGTCTCTCTGCAATCCTCACTGCCACTTTCACTGCAACTTAAATGGTGCGTTATACTTGGTTCCCGGTGTGTACATTCACAGGCATAAAAGGGAATTCCACCACACGTGCCTAGCCTTTGCCCCAGCATTGGCGGTGTCTCCACTCAAGAAAAGATTTAAATTATAAATAAAGCAATATAAAAACAACCCAGTAAATAAGATACAAAAGAAAAAGGAGTAAACACACACACACAACCTTTAAGATACAGGTCCTTTTAAAAGCTTGATTAAAATATAACAAACAGTTAACACTGAAACGCTATAAAACAATGAACAAATGCCAATCAACACGACAGCAACAAAGCAAAAACCAGGCTACAACAAGACAGCAGCAGTGTGTAGGCCTTTAACAAGAGAAAGAAAGTAGTCAGCCAGGGTTCACGCTACTTTAAGCCAAACTGCAGACAGTCAGGATCCTACTTACCACCCTTTTACAGTTACAAAGCTTTAAGCAATTGGCAGGACAAAAGAATGTGATCTGCAATACTTACAGTTTTTTCTGATTGCTTAAGCACATTTTTTGTAACTATTGGCTAATTTTGCAAAACTCTTCACACAAATAAGAAAACCTGTCACCCAATCATCAAAACATTGTAGTTCTCTTGCAAAAGCAAACACAGCTAGATTAACTCTTCACACCTTCGTAAAAATGGTGTTTCCGTATCAAACAGTACACACAAGCCATCATCTACTAAGCACACAATGCGCCAACTGCACACTGATGGTATGAATACAAAACACATCTGGCTTTTGCTTTCTCTGTGCACAAGGTAGGCTATGTCAGTTTGAGCTCATACTTCTGTCATAGATCCATAAGCATAGAGGGATCCAAACTTCAAGTACTGCTGTTTATTCAAACACATCAAAACAAACACAAGTGTTTATTTCCAAGTATAGGATTATTTGCAATCGCCATAATGACTATATGCGTTACTTGGTCTGCAGTGAACATGCTTCCTCTGCCCCCAGCATCTGGTCATCTAGCAATTCTGTAAAGTAACAATTTCAGTATTTTTACATCAATGGTATTGGTGTGTTTCTCATTGGCATATGGCAGTGCTACAAATCTTTGTGCGAAGTGACTGTACTAACCGATTCTCATTTCAAGATGTCCTTATGATACTTGCTACAGTGTAGCGGCTCGAGTTAGGCTGGACCTGTTGGCCAGCTTCCCTCAGGGTCATTCCACGGTTGATGACATGGTCCACTATTGTAGCTCTGATGCCATCAGCAATTCTATTTCTTACTCTTCCTACCCTTCCTCTCCCCCCTCCTCATCTTCCTCTCCCCCCTCCTCATCTTCCTCTTGCTCCTCCTTGTCCTTGTCGTCCTCTTCATCCTACTTCTTCACCTCCACGTCCTCTTCCTCGGCCTCCTCTACTTCTCACTCTTTCTGCTCCCTCCATTGTACTCTGCACACACAGCTTACCTGTATTATAGTGCTTAGGCTGATTGCAAAGTGAATGAATTATCTAAGAAAGTTTTCACATGTGAAAGTGTGCCAGACAGTTGGCAAATTAGTGTTAATGATAGCCATACATGTGTATACTTTTGCTAGGAGTGTGTTGGAAATTTGGTAATTGAGTGTTGTGCAGTGAATTGTGCCTACAGTTTTGCAAAGTGTGTGTTACAAAATTGCAAACTGAGTGCAAAGCAGTTTTTGTGCTTTTAGTTTTGCAAACTCAGTGAGTGGTTTTGCTATAAGTCTGAATAGTTTTAGAGATTGTGCTACAGGAATCACAGTTAGGGTTTAAGCATTCAGAAAAAACTGTAAAGACAACTTGTGATCTTCGCCACCCTCTACAGGAATGAGTGCAAGTTGCCAGGAAATGGGAGTAGGCTACAGCTGCTTACATTAGGCGTGAATGTTCATGCTGCGTTCACAAACACCATGCATTAACCAAACATCTACCAAATCTAACCCACTACAAAGAAAAACAAGTTTTTTAACCGCTTGCTTCAGGAATTTCTGTGTTTGTCTGGGAAGACTAATTAGAAAGTTTTTAATAGTGGACAACTGATCACATTGGCAATGTTTTGTCTTTTTTGTATTCTGAATGTAAACACGTGGTATGTAATAAATAAAAATAATTAAAAATACAATTAAAATAAAATACAGACAACTGAGAGTAAAGCTAGAATATGACAATATCAAAAGACAAAATAAATAAACTCTCTGTCTGAATGAATACCGCCCTGTTGCACTGACATCCCTCATCATGAAGTGCCTTGAGCGGCTGGTCAAAGGTCACATCTGCTCCTCCCTTCCTGACACACTGGACCCTCTTCAGTTCGGGTGTCGGACAAACAGAGCCACAGAGGATGCCATCGCCCTGACAATGCACACCGCCCTCCCTATTTTTTAGATTTAGATTTTTTTAGATTGATAAATATAAAAATTTTATTTGTTAAATTTAAGAGTACCGAGATAAATCATATGTATTTCTTAATTTAAAATGGCACCCAAATTGTATTCAAAATTGAGCCACACTTATGGAGGTCCACAATTCTTTTCCTGGTGTTTTAATTCAGCGGTCCCCAACCTTTTTTGGGCCACAGACCGGTTTGTGCACGACAATATTTTCACGGACCGGCCTTTAAGGTGTTGCGGATAAATACAACAAATAAAACTAGTACCGGTACCTCGCAGGCAGCAGCTTCTCCCCCCTCGCTCACATGTGTAAGTGCTGTGCTCAGTTGCCTAGTGCCTGAGCTCGGATCATACCAAAATTAGGGGGAATTTACGACTGTGCGCTATGTGCTTCGAATAATGTGTGTAGCTTTTGTTTATACAGTTGTCAGTCAGGCATCTAACTATGAAACAAATTGGGCTTCTGAAAAAGAAGCCCAATTTGTTTCCCTTCTGTAGGGGTCTCTGCAGGCATACAGGGCTCTGAGAGGGTACAAGATGACAACAGTCGATCATATTTATTTGTCAAAGCTGAATTCAGGGCAAAGTACGCTAAATTAGCGTTCTTAGCTAACAGCTACAATAAGCATAAAAGTTACTGTACGGCTATCATTTGTTAGCATGACGCTTGTTCTTATACATGTAATACATTTATTACCAACCTGAGAGTTTATCCGCTGGTCATTCGACATGATGAATGACTTCTGAAGTCTTAATTCTGTCATGGTCCTGGGGCATTTTGACCCAGCGTTTTGTGTTTCTTTGAAGTTCATTTTTGTGCCTTGTGTTTATTCTGATTTTGTATTAGTTTAGGGTTGAACCTGAAGTTTAGTGTTTTATCAGCACTACCTGTGTCTGTCCTCGGTGCTCTGTTCATGTCCCCGTGTTGTGTTGTAAATCAGTCTGTGTGTTTCCTGCTTTACTTTGAAGGCTCGTGTTCTGGATTTCCTGTTCTATTCTGAAGGTCTGTGTCTGTTGTCATTGTGTTCAGCTTGTATCCTCCAGTCATCATGTGTATTAGGATCAGCTGTTCTCCCCTCCTGTGTGTGATTACCCGATTACCGTGTGTGTGTATATTTAGTGGGTGTCGGTCTGTGTTTGTTGTTGGCTCGTCTGAGTTCATCTGTGTATCTCTGCGGTGCATGATGCGGCGGTCCTGTCTCTGTGGCTCTGCCCTGCAGCCCTTTTCATATGCTCTCAGGTTTGTTATTTAGTTTTTCCCAGTTTAGATTTCCGTTAGTATTTCTCATGCTTCGTTGTCTGTTTCTGCCACTGCCACTTGTAAATAAGCGTCACACTCTTTATCAGTCGCTTGCTTGCATTTTGGGTCCTCATTCATCTACAACACGACTGCTGCCCCAGCCGTGACAAATTCAGCTCAAGACGTTGTAGATTCCCGTCAGTAACACTTTCGGTCCGCTAGTAAAACGTAGTTCTACTAATCTGCGCTTGATTACTCTTGAACCGGAACCGGATGTAAGTCCCAAAAAACTTAATTTTGGAACTGAAATTGAATTGTAGAACTGAAACTGAATGGTGAGAAATGAATCTGCAATTATTCGAGAGCTAAATTTTTAAAGGATAAAATACGGTTTCAAAGGAAATGGATTCATTTTCAAACTATAAAATTCAATTTCAATTTAGTGATGATCATTTATAAACCAATAAATTGAATTTCAAATTAGGCAAATTCATATTCAGTTTGTAAAAGCATTTATTCAAGTTACAATTCCGATTCAATCTGAGCAATTCAAATTTAACTTATTCAAATTCAGTTTCTGATGGCACAGATTTCTGCCCATATAATATTCACAACTATTTCAGTTGCGGATGATAAAGGATTCAGAAAGTTTATTCATGCAGGCCCATATGACAGAGAATATGCATGTTCTTTTTGTTTTCATATTTTAATTTATATTTAATTGTGTTGTGTTTTGTGTTTCATTTTAAATTTGTTTAAAAGGAAAAAGCTGAAAATTTAAATAGTTAAAAGTTGAACTGTGACTAGTTGGTTTTTGTATTATATGATTTATTTATTACATTTTATGTGGAGTGAATAAATAAAAGTATATTTACGGTGGCCCCTAGAGACGAAGCACGTGCAGACTTCAAAACATGTACGAACTCTGAAGCACGTAAAAACTCCGCCCATACAAACTCCAAAACACATACAAAAGACAACAGAAGTGCTCCAGGATGCCAGGCGCAGTGTTGAGCTTTTGTTACCTAGTGGCTACACAAGCCAGGAAGTACCAACGACTGGATTTGGTGGTAGTAACAGGTAAATGAAAATTGTTTTTAAGTGTGTGTGTGTTTGTGCGTACGTTTGTGCGTACGTGTGTGTGTTTGTGCACACAGCAAATTCAAAAGTGTTAAATGTTTTGGTGTTAATAGTCTTCTTGCAAAAGTAGAGTTAATTTTACTCTAAGCAGAGTCACATTCTTTTAATGTAACTCTGAGGTGTAAAATGATAGTAGTTAAAATCGAGTGTTAAAAATGAGTGTTTCTCTGTCAAATCTGGAGGTGTTACAATGGAAACATTAACTCTTGACCTCTTGACCTCTTAACTCTGAACTCCTACAGGGGGTATGACACCAATAGAGTGAATTCACAGACTCCGCCCCCAGCACGGCTCCAATCGAAGCTGAAGTGAAGCAGTTTCAGAACATTTTGCTCTACATATTTGAGTTGTTTGCCATGCTTGGTAAGTCATTTTTTCAAAGATTGTTTCAATTATTATTATGAGCTTTTACTTCTGTGGCTCTTTGGAGTTGAGGCAAAGCTGTGTGAAAGGCATTAGCCATGTTGCTCGCTGATAGCATAATATTCTGTTTTAGCTAGCTGAAAGGTATTGTTTGCGGGCAAATACCACAGCCATGAAAAAAGCTTGCATGTGAATTTTCAGTCAAACTTTTGGTCAAATACACCTAAAACAATGTCTAGAATGTGAAATGTTGGTATGATGGTGCTACTTGAAGCCTAAAAACGATCGCCCATAAAAAAAAAAACAAAAAACGAGCAAACAGCAGTAGCAGACGTCCTGACTCGATTCTACATTAGCATAGATCCCGCCAGAGTTTTGTGCACACGGTTTAGGTAAAAATGAAAAAGGTTGAGGTTTTACATTTAGTTCAGTATTACCTGTTGCCTGTGTCCTTGTCTTTTGGGAAAATACTTTACACAAGTAATGGCTCAAAGAGGATTCCTTTTTTTTTTTTTTTTTTTTTTAACTACTGTGCTGCAATTGTTTACTGGATTATTTGTGCCATTAATTAGTGTCAACTAATTTTTATTCAATCTCCGCACAGGATATGCTTGTGAAGATGGAATATGGGGGAGAGCAGAAGTGCGTTGAAGTTCCACAAAGGGATGAATGAAGGACATGCATATTGTATTGAAGAAATAAGTGAGAATGCTGTTATTTGCATTTACCAGCTCACCTATGTCAGACCTTTTGATAAACAAAATTCTAATGAAAGTGAGAACATGTACACTGTTACATCTTTCAGAAAATGTTTTGAAATTGTGGTGCACAGTTCAGAATAAATGTTTTTCAAAAACCATTGCATCTTTTTAGTAAATGTTTATTTCCAAAATAAATTTCTAGAAGTTCAGAACAGTAAAATTCCTGCTTTTTAGAATGAATTAGAAGATAACTCTTACGTAGTTAAACTAAAATACTCTTTGAGAGTTAATATATAAACTCTTAACACAAAGTGTTAAATTATCAACTCAAGACAGATTTGGTGTTTAACACTAAATCAGAGTTAATGTACCAACTCTCCAAAAAGAGTTAAATTAACACTCTCTGGTGTGGACCCATATAGACACTTTAATAGTGTTGAAATCAAATCCGACAGTGTTAATTTGGACATGCTGGATTTGCGTGTATAAATACACAAACAATACAGATATGTTTTCAATTGTGTAACTTAAGTGATCTAGGTAGCTCTGTTTTGGAAGTTTAGTTAATGCTAGAAATGTGTTTTGGAGTTTGTACGTGCTTTGTCTCTAGGGGCCACTGCCCCTAGACATAAACCTTAGAACTGAAGAAGCTTCTCGGATGAGAGGTGAAACGTCTTCAAGCAACTTAAAGAAGTCCAGACGCTTTTCTTTGCAAGCTCCTTTGACTACGATGACCTGAATGACTGAGAACCTTCACAGACTTTCAGAGTTGCGGAATATTTTATATATATATATATATATATATTTTTAGTTAGTTAGTAGTGGTGCAACAATACACAAAATTCACGGTTCGGTTCGATATTTTTTCGATACAAAAAAATGTTCATGCATTTTTAATTTGTCATTTATTAAAATTATAAATATATATTTTAACTCAAAAGTACAGTTTTTGAATTTAACCCTAACCCTTGTGCGTGTTTTTTATTTTGACAGCGAATGCGCACCTGCGGACCACTTATGTGCAGCCCTGGTTATTTATCTCATCATATTGCAGCCACAGAAATTCTTTTGTCCATGAAACCATAAAGCTGCACTTTCTTTTTTCCTCATAGTCTGATTTGTCATAACTTCTCCATTTTGTGGTAAGCTTTTCTTTGGCTGTCACTTCTTCACCCTGACCTGTCTTATTTGGCTCAGCAGAACTGAAATGCTTTTACACACTCACTCACATAAGCTCAGCGATTCTCTGCGTGATCAACCTCTCACATGTTTAAGCTGCGGGAGATTTCACTTGTCATGTTTGCATAGTAAGCTAACGATTAATAAGACGATGTCAGAGGAATTGGTGCACAAATTATCATCACTCACAGATCAGTGCTGTCGCTCTCTATACACAGTTCGCACGATTGCAAAGTGAAAGCAAAAAACAAGCGCAAATTCAAACGCGACTTCAATATGTCACATATTGACAGTGGCTCACCGATGCCAATGACATAATTACCCAGCTACATTTCCGAAAGAATGCAAAAGCATTGACATATATTTTTCCTACAATAGCCCGACGGGCAGGGAAGAGAGATTTTGGTAGCCCGACTGAAAAAATCGCTAGCTCCGGGACGTCGGGCTAGCGATATTGCAAGCCCTGTATCTGATTGAGGAATCACTCATCTTTGGAAAAGAGAGTTTATTACAGAGAAATGGCTCTTTCCAAAATAAAAGCTATACTATCCGCTTCTTCTGGGCTATATTCTCAGCAGCATAAGGAGAATCATGTGCTAACAGCTGTCTAAATGACTCGGCTAAAGTTAGTAGCATGCTTGTTGTTTTTGTCTTTGCACTAGGATGATGTCGGCGTAAATGTGCAGTCATATTCGTTGTGTTCCCACTAGTGCTTTCAGGTTAATCTCGTTGAAATGACCTTAACGCCACAACACGGCAAATCTCCGTTAACGAGCTACCGCCGATCGCCCCGTGCATGGGGCTAGACGGCCAACACGTTAACGAGCTAACTGCGCTAACACACTAGTTCACACCAATGTAATTGAGCATTGCATGGCACATCCAACATACTGTTTTACTTTAGTCCATGACTCGCTTACCTTCAGGGTCATACGTCACATGAAAACCAAAATAATTCCAAACGCCAGATCTGAATGAGGGTGGGGGAGGTCCATGTGTCTTGCAAGGAGAGCTTAACTTCTGTCTCGCTAGCTTGCCCTGCGCTCTTCCTTCTGACTATGCTGTCTGTGTTGAGTGCTCAGTGGATCTGCGCTCGACAGTGCAGCCTAGGCGGAGTAGTCGAACGCAGATTCACTGAGCGCTCAACACAGACAGCATCGTCAGAAGGAAAGTTGATAAAATAAATTACAAATGTTGTATTGTTCGATACATATGCGTACCGAACCGAAAGCACTGTATCGAACGGTTCAATATCGATACGAATATCGTTGCACCCCGTGTGTGTGTGTGTGTGTGTGTGTGTGTGTATGTATATATACACACACGCGCGTGCAAATGAGGGAGAAAGAGAAACAAGCTCCAGGTGGCAGCATTGCGTCATTTAAAGATTGGATAGAGGAACTGTTCACAGGTATTAAAAAAATAAAAAAAAAATACAAAAACATGAATTCTGATGAAGTAACCTTGTTCCAGTTTTTTGCAGTTTATGACAGGAATCACAAGATCATCACAGTTTTAGACATTAATATTATTGTATTCTGCAAATAAAATGTGAATTATATATGACAGATATAAGTGATAAACATTGAAAACTGAATGAGATTGGGGGAAAAAAAACCTTGACTCATTCTTAACTCGTATATCAGAGGACATAAACATGGACTCCAGCTGGTCTTCCACATGCTACACATTGGCATATATTGACTCATCCCAGTCAGTCTGCACAGAGAAACAAAATTAATTCACTCCCCTTTTTAATGCATGCAAAATATGAATGAGCTAATGAAGAAAACATTACTTATCCATACGTTGCCATAGACAGGATAATTGGTGTACATGTCAGGGGAAGGGATATCCTTACGGCTCATTTTCCTGCAGAAAGAAAAGCTATTATTAAAACAAGTGACACATCTTTAAACTTATATTTATGATTACAATTTTTTTTTTTGTTTGTTTGCAAACAGAAGTGAAGAATTAAAACCTTTTCGGTGGGGCACTATGAGGGAGCTCCACAGGTCTGTCTGACATCATGGTGCTCAGGTTAGTGGTTGTTGTGTCTCTTGATCTCCCCTACTGGCAGTAAAGTGTTTTTGATTAAATGAGAAAGGAAACTGACACTTTTCACAGCCTCTGAAATTAAAGACAGGCTGTCAGGACCTAAAAAAATTGTTCTGGTGCTCATATAGTTGTAATCATGATTGTGACTATTATTTGATACATGTTGCAATATTTACAGATTCTCCTGCATGCATGACATACTTGTTTATCTGCAATGATTATGTTCATGACAACTTACCATTTTTTAACAACTCCCACTCCACTTCCTATCAAAATAATCAGCAAAATCACACCTGCTCCGGTTGAGATAAGAATATTCTGCATGTTGTCTGTTGACAAAGAAACCATGTTAAGTATTTTTGTCATGTAAAAATAGAGAGATCAATTCATCCTAAGTCTTTCTTACCATTAACAGGTAAAGAGAGCAAGATGTTGTCATATCCCAGCATGTTGTTTGCCAGGCAGTGCACAAACCTGAAAGACCCAAAGTCTGTCTGCAGAGTCTCAATAGTAACAGAGCCATTTTTCTCTGCTTTGCTGCTTTGCATGACTCTGTCACCAAGAATAAAATAGACCATGCTGGGAGGCTCAGACTCTACGATGCACTCACACTTTACCACGCCGTCCTCGGAGGAGCACTTTGAGGAAGGCTTGATGTCAGGGCCATCTGTGAGAACTAGACATATATTAAGACATAGCCATGCATATATTATATATGTTTGAATGAAATAAAAAAATCTATTTTCTTCTTGGATTTACTCTCGCGTAATGTAACACATAACATGAGCTGCACAGGGCATGTCTGGTGACAGCTGACAGTTTAACTGTGCCACTCATAGCTGCTGACAGGGTTAGCATCACTGAAGCACTTCAGGCATACAGTTTTTTTAGTGTGTGTGTGTATATATATATATAAAAAAAAAACAACCCAAAAAACCCCTGTAAAACCGACAACTTTAATTAATAATTAAGAAATATAGTATGTAAGAAGGCAATGTTTCACAACTTTCCCTTTCAATACAAAAAAAAAAACAAAAAAAACTCCAGTGAACTTCATTTACTGGCAGCATGAATAAAGTTTTCAGGTGAGTAGTGTGAGGGCTGTCATACTCAGTCATGGTGAGAGGCAACTGTGTCTACTGTGACCATACAACAAATTGTAACTTTCTTTATTTGTGCTCCCTTCCCCTATTTTGTTCTATTTTATCATGTTTTAATCCAGATTTTTAATGTTTTTTTCTTTTTTTTTAAAATTTGATTGTAAATAACGTTTTCGTTTAAATGTCTTGATGCATGCTCAATCATCAAGGTAAGTGAATCTCCAAAAGTTGATTCTGTTCATCTGGACGTAGCGTTTTGTGGGAGAAACGTTTCGTCACTCATTCAAGTGACTTCTTCAGTCTCAGCTGACTGCAGGTAAGATTGGGAAATCTTATAAGATTGGGGCATTGCGTCCCGATGAGCAGAATCAACTTTTGGAGATTTTAGTTTAAAAAGGCTTGATACTAGCTACAGCGGTTAATACCCTGGTAAATCTGCAGTATACTTACATCTTACTTGAAGTATCTTAGATGTTTCCAGGTGCAGCCCTCGATGGTATGTTATGTTGCATTTTAAAGGCTTGTTGTGATCAGAGTGGTTTGGGCGAAAGGTCAGAGTAGATGTTGAATTCCACTGGCCTTCATGAAGCTGCTGTGTTTGATCATGCTGCTCTCCAGAGTGACTCCAGATGAAAGAAGGTGGATATGTGGGGCAGGAGTGAAACACAGAGCAGGATGCAGACACATTCTCACCCTCCTTTACCTCTTGCACAGAGAAAACAGGTTGACCTGTGTTAACAAAAAAGACTGTGGTCATAAACCAGAACTCCATCATGGCAGTAAGTTTATACTGTAATGGAAATACAAATGTACTTAAACAGTACAGCTGCTGATTTTATGTTTTATGCAACTTTAAATTTTGGTCAAGTTAATAAACTGTTCACAGTAAAGGGTTTTGAGTGTGATTTCAAGCTTAAAGATGAATGAAATAAGAAATAAACTAGGTGATAATTACTTTCAATATCTGACTGACAAAGAAGAAGATGAGCAGTTTTACAATAAACAATTTATAAAGAACAAAGCGAATTGATAGTTGATAACATGGTTGGAGTATAATGATAACTTCTATTGCCATTGATTTTGATTGATTATCATAATTTGATGAGTTGCACAAATACATTTTTACATCTAAGGTTTGAATGAGTAGTTCAACAACTAATGCAAGTCTGCAAAAATTAATGTAAAATGTTCCAGAGCACTGCAACCTGACCCTACAATATTTACTTCATATTTATATTCAAATGAGTATAAAAGACTTAGATCAGGCCTGTTTCACTAAAACTAAAATGCTCAGGAATGCTGAATGTCAAACGTCCAACATGATGGTAAAAATACTGGAAATAAAAAGAGAACTATTAGAGCTAGAACACAAGACTTTACTGGTAACCATATTTATTTTACTTACTGACTGAAACAGAGACTTTGTTATTTTTGTAGGAGTACTGGTCATAACCTTTAATTTCAATCCGGAAATATAAAGGCCCCACATCACTTTGTTGAAGATCATCAATCATCAGAGAACAGTTCTTCTTGCTGAGGTCTCCCAGCAGCTTTGTCCTATTCCGAAACTGACCCGAAGTTTGAGACTTATCCGAATGACAGATGACTTGATTATTGTTATTATACCAAATGCCTGTAAAGCTTGTGGTACTGATTTGTGGATCTGGGTAGTTATAAGAGCAGGGGATCACCACACATGCGCCAAGAAGACCTTTCACTGAGGATGGCACAGTGGCGCTCCAAGATGAAGCTTCTGTTGGGGTAACTGTAATAAAGTGCAGAGTAAAATGCAATGAAATAAAGCACAGGAATAAGACAAAGAATGAAAGAAGGACAGCAGCATGGAATAATACAGACCAGATCATCTAACACTTGTCATAATTTGTCTGTACAAAAACACAAAGGCCTATAAAAGAAGTGAGAATTAAAAATTACAGCTAAATATATGAACTATCCATACCTTTAAAGCAAATGCACATGAAGAACAAACACAAAGACCACCGCAATGCCATCTTTCACCTTGTTGTCACTCAAGTAAATACAGACAAGTTTTGTTTGTCGTCACATTTATTTCCTTCATGTGTGAAGTGATTGCGACGTTTCAATTCTATTTTTAAGATCCACTGAATTGAAATGCATGCCATAGCCCTGAGTCTGAGGACTCAGTGGTTTTTTTTTCATTGTTATTATCCATGTTTTCGATTTTATTCCGATTAAGGTCTTCTAGTTCTGAGGCCATTTGCTATCTTAGTGCGTCTAGTTTTTCTTCCCCTTGTCTCATTATGTCCTATTAATCCCAGCTGTCTCCCCCTCCTGTTTCTCATTCCCTGATTGCCCCTTTGTGTTTATGAGCCCTGTGTTTTCTCCTGCTTGTTGCTGGTTCGTCTGTGTTATTTCCCTGTGTCATCCTGTGTAGTTTCCCTGCACCTCCATTTCAGGTTTCAAGGCTGTTTTTGGTTAGTTTTCCCCAGTTTAGGTTATCCTTAGGTTTTATTTCATACCTGCTACGTTCCTGTTTGTTTCACCTACCATATTAATAAAGCTCACTCGCATCAGAAGCTGCCTTGCAGTTCTCCAGAGGCCTGGTAATGAACTCAGGTGTAATGACCAGGGTCAGATCTAAAACCTGCAGGACACCGGCCCTCGAGGCCTGGAGTTCGACACCCCTGACCTAGTTTAAATATTTCTCTGGTTACTGGAATTGTCATGTTACATTAAAAGAAAACCAGCCTATAACCACCAGTGCTATATGTAGAATATTTACCATAATACAAATGGGTTTATTTTTAACATTCATCAGAAGGGTTACACTTGACAGTCATGCATCACTTCACAGCTCTGTTTTGCAATGCAACACGTTAACCACAGTGCAGCATCCCACCTCAAGCTTGGTGCTTTAGCTAATTACCATAAGCTTTGCTAGAATAAATAGATGAATAAATAGACTGTGGATAGATAAAGATGATATGCTAATGTTTGCCTTTGCTGACTTATATTTGGGGATTTGCTGTTTTTAGCAGTAAAAACTATTACACTCACCACAGGCCAGTATGGACAGATGTGCACTTGATTCTCTGTTATGACCCAGGTCATGATGCTGTATGTTTGTGGTCCTCACACCCAAGGGTGACATTGTTCATTCTCTGTGTTGTTTGTGCTTGTGTAAGTTCCACGTGAAGGTTGTTTGAATTGTGTGGTTAGCCACAATGGGGTTTCATTTAGATAAGTTTGCCAGGAATCCAACATAGCAGTTAAATAAGTGTTGAAAGATAGATTTGAGGCTCATTGAAAACCTTTCTAATGTGCAAACACCATTGGCTGTGAGGAAAGAACAGCTGCGGCAGCTTGTAACTGGTTGAGAGGGTTCTGCTGGCAGATGTGGCAGTTGCAAATGGGGCAGGCAAAGCTGATGTGGAGCCTCTAGCTCCTTCCACGGGTCCTCCTGTAAACACTTCTCCTTTAGCTCCTCCCAGTTCTATGATGGGGATGTCAGCTGAGGAGCTCCAGCTAATGCTCTGCATTATGGAAGTGGAGTTGAGAAACTGGGAGCTGGAGGTGGAAGGAATGCATCTATGGGTGAAAGCTTTAGAGCTGCAACGCCACCATAGTAGCTCCATCCAGTCACCGCTCAAACTGCAAGCTCCCCCTATCTCCCCATAATTGCTTTGATTTGCGCATTAAATTGTTACTACCCTTTAGAGAAACTGAGGTGGATTCATACTTTGCTGTGTTTGCTAAAGCTTTGAAATGGCAAAAGGAAGTTTGGGCCTTGCTGCTGCAGTGTAGGCTTGTGAGTAAAGCTCAGGAGTGTGCTAGCCTCTCAGTGGACCAAAGCTTAGACCATGATGTGGTTAGGGCTACAGTATTGTGTGCTTGTCAATTGGTGCCTGAAGCATACAGACAGAAATTCCGAAACTATGGGGAAAGGGACAACCAAGTGTGTGTAGTTTATGTGTGAGAAAGGGTGCTTTTTGATAAAGAGTGTCAGGCTAGCAAAGTCAAAGATTTTGCACAGCTGAGGGAACTAGTGCTTTTGGAGGATTTTAATAAATGTTTGCCGGAGCATGTGGTGATTTATTTAAATGAACAAAAAGTTGAGTCTCTTGCAAACGCTGCAGTCTTGACAGATGAATTTGCCCTGACTCACAAGAGTGTTTATTCATCTCTGACACGTCAGGACCCTATTGCGCCCTGAAGAAGGGCGCTGCTCTTGCGGCGACCAGCAGGTTGTCTCTGTCTGTCAGTGTTTTAACTTATTTTATTTCATTCTTTTATTCCTTTATTTTATTTTATTTTTTTTGCCTGAGGAAAAAATAACTTAAGGGTGGCCTGGGCAGGCATGAAACACATGACTGGTCACTGTTACAATGACTGTAATAAGATAAGTCTCCCTGGTTTTAGTTCAGACTCTCAGCCAGTGAGCTGAATAGATTTTATTTGAGATTTAATGATAATTATAATCCAAGGAATACGCTTGATTTCTTAATAGAGAGCACCAGAGGCCCCCCAGCTTTGTTCTTTGATGAAAGAAGGGTGGGAAATCTTTTTAAAATGAGTAAGACTAATAAAAGTCCAGGTCCTGATAATATATGTGGCCAGGTGCTTAGAACATGCGCTGAGCAATTATGCAGTATTTTTTATTACATCTTTCTTTTATCTCTTCAGCAACAGAAGGTTCCAGAGGTATGGAAAAAATCAATTATTTCTCCAGTTAAGACCACAAAACCTACATCATTAAATGATTTTAGGCCTGTCGCTCTAACATCCTTAGTGATGAAGTCCTTTGAAAAACTTGTCAGGAAGGAGATCCTGCAGCAAGTAGAGAAGCTTATAGATCCACTACAATTTGCATACAGGCCTTGTAGAGGTGTGGATGATGCAGTGGTCACTCTGATGAACTTCCTTTATCGCCATCTTGATGGCGCCAAAGCTCATGCTCGGCTCTTATTTATTGATTTTTCTTCAGCTTCTAATACTATTCAGACACATCTTTTAGTTGATAAGCTTCTTAACCAATTTAAACTTGATTTTAATCTCGTTGTTGGATTTTAGCCTTTTTAACTGACAGATCTCAGTGTGTGAGAGTAAACGGTTGTTTTTCCAAACAGCTGAACTCTTCTACTGGCTCACCACAAGGTTGTTGTCTCTCTCCTCTACTGTATATTTTGTACACTAATGACTGTTGCAGTACACAGGCCAACAGGCATTTAATTAAATACGCAGATGACACAGTCATTGTAAGCCTCCTTCATGGTGAAGAGGATTCCCATGGGCCTGTTGTGGATGAGTTTGTTTCATGGTGTGATCAGTCCTCCTTAATGATTAACACCTTGAAAACCAAGGACATGGTTATTGACTTCAGGAAGTCATCCCTCCATCCTGCGCTAACAGTGGTAAATGGTGCAGCCATTGAACTGGTGGAGGTTATAAGTATTTGGGGGTTGTTCTTGATAAGTCTCTGTCCTTTGAGTCACATCTTGCTGCTACAGTGAAAAAGGTTAAACAAGGACTGTACTTTTTAAGGAGGTTGAGAGGTTCTAATGTTTCATCTGAAATGATGACTCTTTTTTTATAAAAGTTTTATTGAATCTGTTTTAACTTTCTGTATCATTGTTTGGTACGGTAATATGTCCCTGAATAATAAGACCAGACTTAACAACCTGGTTAAAGTGGCTGGCAAGATTTCAGGGAGGTCTCAGGTCCAGCTTGTGGACTTTTATAACAGGCAGGTGCTGAGGAAGGCAACTTCTGTCCTGTTGTGTTCAGATCATCCTCTCTTTAATGATTTTCAACTGCTTCCATCAGGTCGTCATTATAAAGTGCCTGCAGTGAAGACAAAGAGACATAGATTGTCTTTTGTACCTAGTGCTATTATCATAGTTAATAACACTAAACCATAAGTGTTGTTGCCATTGCACATTGCACTTTTTTGATGAAAAATCTAGGTTGTTTTATCAGGCTTATATTATTTTGGTGAGTGTATGTGATGTGTTGGTTGTCTGTTTGTTTGTTTGTATGGACATACTACAAATCAATTTCCCGTTAGGGACAATAAAGTTACCATTGACCATTGTTTCCCCTGGCATGGGGAGGGCACGTTCACCTCAAGTTCCCTGGCGCAGCCACACAGTTTTCAAGCCTTTTATCTCTAAAGGTTTTCTATCACTGACTGAGAAGAAGGGGGACAAAATTCCCATCACAATTTTATGAGATGCTGGTGCAAAGTACTCTGTGGTGTGTCATGGTATAGTGCCTTTTTCTGACCAGTCATACTGTGGCTCAGATTTGTTGGTGTGGGGAATAAAAATGAGTATGTTGGGCATCAGTGTTGGTCAAGTTACTTGAAAAAAGTAATCAGTAACTAATTACTGATTACTTCCCCAAAAAAGTAATCCCGTTACTTTACTGATTACTTATTTTCAAAAGTAATTAATTGCTTAGTTACTTAGTTACTTTTTAAAAACACGATTTACAACCTGAATAGGTAATAAAGTGATAGATCTTTCAGCCCAATTCTGCTTTTTCTGCATAATCCATCATACAAAATGTAATCAAATGGAAAAGTATCTTTTTTTTAAACTTATTTTATTAGTTTTAATCTTTTAACTTTATGCATCAAGCAAAAATTTAATTATATGCAACATTCTGACTTGAATAAATGAGTTTAACATTTAAACCTATTTTCTGCACATTCCAGCACATAAAATAAAATATTTTTTGTGTTTACACTCACTCTTTCAAATAGATGCAAGTAAAACACAGCAGAAAATAAATAAAATCAAAGACTAGCGGTCCTGTTGCTCTATATTCACCTGTAAAGCAGGACTAGGGTAGGCGGAGGTTTACCCTGGTGCAGGTGTGCCGCGGTCAGTTGAAGAATCCGCGAGTTTCTTTGTGAGTTTCCCATTACGTCGTTGCACACTCGGTGCTTGCTTGGAAGCTTAGGGGTTTTTTTCGCTGTAAAAAGAAGTTTTCTTCCCACGCACAACGGACACTAATGTTTTTGTCACTT